CAGCTTCTCAACATCCTTTTTGAATTGTGGTGCCCAGAACTAGACACACTATTTCAGGTGAGGGCTGACCAAAACAGAATAGAGTGGCACTTTTACTTCCCTTGGTCTAGATCAAGGGTTGGCAACCTATGGCCTGCGGGCTGCACCCGGCCCATTGATCCCCACTGACCGGCCCCCGCCGCCGACTGCCACTGACCCCTGCCACCGCATGCTCCCGCCACTGTGCCGCCGCGCACAACGTGGCTGCCATTTTGTTTACCAAAATGGTGGCAGCAACTCGGTTGCACATGTGCAGTACTCCTGCGGATGCACAAACAAATAGCGGCCGCCATTTTGCCAAACAAAATGGCGGCGGCAGCGTGCGTGGGGTGGCAGCGGCGGCAGCGGCAGCGGCAGGAGCTGCGTGCGCGTGCATGAGCACACGTGCCACCATTTCCCCCCACCCAGCCCAGCAGAAGATCTGGGGACCAGCGACCGGCCCCAGGTATGTGAAGGCTGCCAACCCCTGATCTAGATAGACACTATACTTCTATCGATGCAGCCTAGAATCACATTGGCCTTTTTAGCTGCCGCATCACACTGTTGCATCTTGAGTGAGTCACATACTCTCAGCACCAGAAAACTCTGGGTTAGATCACCTTAGGGTTGCCATAAGTTAAAAATGACTTGAAGGCACAGAAGAACAACTTATTGTTCACAATGAAGATTACCATATTAAACTATGGACCAATGTATGCTGGACTAATATAGGGTAGGCAGACATTCATAATTGACTTGCTGCAGCCTCAGAAATCTAGGCTTGCGGGGACCTCCCATAGGGCCTTTTCTGTTGTCGCTCCCAAGCTCTGGAACGGCCTGCCGGATGAGATCTGTCAATTAACACCCCTGGATAGCTTTAAAAAGGCTGTCAAGATGGATCTCTTCCGGCAGGCCTTTCCAGATTAAACTACCCGGCCTCATGACCCTGAGATCCCGTGACATTGAGATCTCAAGACCTTGAGATCTCCCTTAATGAATATCCTATAACTCCTGTTATCAGGGGTTGTTGGTTTGTATTATAATTTTTATATTTTATTTTAATTGTTAATTGCTTAATTATATTTTAAAGTGTTAATTGTAATTGTTTTAACTGAGCTTGATCTAATTGTTTTTTAAGGGGGGAGGAGGGAATTATATTGTTTTAGCTTGTATCTTTTTTACTGTTGTTCACCGCCCGGATTGGCTCGCCATAGGGCGGTATACAAATAAAAATTATTATTATTATTATTATTATTATTATTATTATTATTATTATTATTATTATTAAAGATTTGAACATTATTTTGTTTGTTGCCACCAAAGTCACGCCAGGAATAAATTACAGAAATGTTTCAAATGTGCATAGTGGTGTTCCTAAATTTTAGCTTGTGATTTGCAAGGCAGTATAGTAAACATGCCAGGATATACATTTTGTTTATCCCATTTGGTTATAAGATAGCTGCAGTTGAATGTTAAGAGTTTGTGATTCCAAGACTGATCCAAAATTTAGTCCCTGGCATCTCCTGGTAAGGCTGATTCAAAAACAAGGCTGGGGAGTGGCAACTCATCAGTGTAGGCAATAGTGAGTTGGAAGGACTAATGATATGGCATGTAATAAAGAAGCTTTCTGTTCCACCCTCTTGTGATTTTAACTTTTCACCTGTGCTACACTATGGCTTTAAAATGAATCACCTTATGTGAAATGGGGTTGCAGAAGTGAACTAAAAGAAATATTAGTTAAAGGTAGCAAACTAGAGGTGGCATGTTAAAACAAAGTTCACACCCAAATAATTTGTTTTCCTGAAAATGGGATAAAGTTTATTTTGATTGATTGATTAAAAATACTTATATTCTGTCTAATAATAATAATCATAATAATCATCATCATCATAATAATAGTTGTTGTTGTTGTTAGGATGGGATATTAACAATAACAATAATAATAATAACTGGGACTCAGAGCAGCTTACAAGATTAAAAAGAGCACAATTAACAACATAGAAAAATGTTACATTAAAACAGAATTAAATTTGTACAATATTAAAACAGATTGCATAAAAATAAAATATAGTTAAAAAGATAAGAATCCAGCCCATTCTTTAAAAACCTTCTGCTTTAAAAGCCTGTCTGAAGAGGAAGATCTTTGCCTGATAGTGGAAGGCCAAAAGGAAGGGGCCATTTTGGCCTCCCTGGACAAGGAGTTCCAGAGTCTAGGGGCAGCTATGGAAAAGGCCCTCTCTCGTGTCCCCACCAACCATGCTTGTGATGCGGGTGGGATGGAGAGAAAGACCTCTCCTGAGGATCTCAGAGCCCAGGCCAGCTCATACAGGGAATTATGGTCTGCCAAATAGTCTGGACACGAGACATATAGGGCTTTATAAGTCATAACCAGCACTTTGAATTGTGCCTGGAATCAAAATGGCAGCCAGTGGAGCTGTCTCAATAGGAGCATTGTGTGATCTCTATAGCCTGCCCCTGTTAACAGCCTGGCTGCAGCTCTTTGGATCAGCTGAACTTTCCAAACACTCTTCAAGCCCCAAGTAATGCACATTACAGTAGTCTAAATGGGATGGAACTAAGGCATATACCACCGTGGCCATATCAGACATCTCAAGGAATGGGCATAGTTGGTGCTCAAGCTTTACATGTGCAAAAACATTTCTGGTCACTGTAGAGACCTGGGCCTCCAGGGTCAAAGCTGAGTCCAGGAGTACCCCCAAACTGCACACCTGCATCTTCAAGGGGAGTGTAACACCATCTAACACAAGCTGAATCCCCATTCCCTGATCTTCCTTCCAAGCACCTCTGTCTTGTCTAGATTAAGTTTCAATTTGTTTGCCCTCATACAGTCCATTACTGATAACAGACACTGGTTTAGGGCCAGGACAGCCTCCCTGGATTGAGATTGAAAGGAGTAGAAAAGTTGAGTGTCATCTGCATATTGATGGCACCGCACCCCAAACTTCTGGACAACCTCTTCCGGCAGTTTCATGTATACATTGAATAGAGTAAGGGATAACACAGAACCCTGAGGGACCTCACAGGTCATGGCATCAAGCAGGAGTCCCCCACCACCACCTTCTTGGTTTGCCCCTCCAGAAAGGAATGGAGCCACTGTAAAACAGTACCTCCAAGTCCCATCCCAGAGAGGTGGCCCAGAAGGATACCATGGTAAATGGTATCAAAAGCCACTGAGAAGTCCAACAGAACTAATGGTACACACCCCCCCTGTCCAGTTCCCTGCATAGGTCATAGGGTGCCTCTATTCCATAGCCAGACCTGATACCAGATTGAAATGGATCTAGATAATATGTGTCATCCATAAACCCCTAGAGTTGGGAATCCACCACACATTCCAATACCTTTCCCAGAAATGGTAGGTTGGACACTGGCTGATAATTATTCATTATAGTGGGATTCAATAATTTTTTTTCAGCAAAGGTCTCACAACTGCCTCTTTTAGGCATGTTAAGACTCTGCCTTGTTGTAGGGAGGCATAGACAACTCCCTTCATCCACTCAGCCAGTCCCCCTCTGGTCTGTTTAATCAGCCAAGAAGGACAAGGATCTAAGACACAAGTGGTGGCTTTCACCTTTCCAAGGATCCTGTCCACATCATCAGGCTGTACAAATTGAAAAGTATCCATTAACACTGGACAGACAGGTTCAAAGGTTACTTCCACTGGTACTGTATCAACTACAACATCCAAGTCGGTGTGGATCTGAGTGACTTTATCTGTAAAATGCCATGCAAATGCTTCACAGTGGGCTGCTAAGTGGTCTGCATTCTCTCCTAGAGTGTGAGTGTGTAACAGACCCCCTGACCACTCGGAACAGCTCTTCTGGATGGCTCCCTGTAGAAGCAATGCTGGCAGCAAAATAATAATAATAATAATAATAATAATAATAATAATAATAATAATTTCTTTGCTGATTGCACTGCCACAGAGTAGGCCTTCAAATAGGCTCTAGCCCATGTTCAGTCAGATTCACTCTTGAGTCTTCCACCAACATGGTTCTTGTCTCCATCTCACTCACTTCATCACCATCAACTCCCTAGAGAACCAGGGGGCTGGTTTGGCTCCACTCCGTAAGAGGGGACAAACAGGAGAAAGTGTGTCCACCACCCTGGCCATTTACCCATTTCAAAGGTCAGCCAGAGCTTCAAAAAAATCATGTGCCGAGGTGACAGGAAACTCCCCAAGATCCCTCAGGAATCCATCTGGATCCATCAGCCTCCTGGGGCAGACCATCCTAATCGGTCCCCCACACTGCAGAGATTTCGAGTCCCAGTGAGTCTAAACTATGGCTATGGATGTCAGTATGGCATACACTAATCTCAGTTTAGAACAATTTAAAACAATAACAATGATGTTAAGACTAAATGCAGATTCAATCATTTATCTTTTAAAACAAGACAAATTAAAGCCGATTAAAGCAGTATGAAATAACAAACCATGGCATGTGCAAAGCAAAAGCAAAGCAGCTTCATTTATATACCGCTTCACATCACACATGGGATGTCTAAGCGGTTTACATCTGTGAGCTGATTGCCCCCCAACAA